AACTGAGGTTATTTAACAAAATAGATGCAGAAGGCTTCCTTCCAGTCATAGTTGTTGGCCTTCAGTGGTGAGCTCCCCAGCACAGGTTCTTACCATCCCTTCGTCTGTGTTGACTCAACTTGAAATTCTCGGTTCTTCATAATTTTAATGCTGTCATAAAAAACTTCCTGGAACCATTTGGAATGTGAGAGGTTTTCGGATACAAGAAGTCCCTGGGAAAATGTGATTCTCTACCACACGGTGCTACCGTGTTTTTATACTAAAATAAATAAAAACACTTTGGAGAATTCTGTTTTATTTATTGCATATACTGAACTTCAGGCAGTTAAGAAAAACAACACAGAAATGAAGAGCTTGAAATGCTTTTAAACAGCTGGAATTCCAGCTGCTAGTGCAATAAGAGAGAACTTATGCAAGACCGTGTAATAGAATATCAGTGTGCACACAGATAAATAATGCAATGAGGGCATGCGTGTTTTATGTTGTTCCAAAGGCTCCTTAAAATTATTAAAAAATTCCCTAATAATCCAAACTCTTCAATTCTGTTTAGAAAATGTTTGAGATCCTTTCTAAGAAGGTTCTGGCTTTAGATCCTGTGTGTTTCCTAGGGCTGCCATGACATATTACTAAAGTGGGTGGCTTAGTACAGCAGAAATTTATTCTGTCATAGATCTGGAGGCTGTGTGTTCTGAAATCAAGGTGTCAGTAAAGCCATGCGGCCTCTGAAGGCTCTAGGAGAGAATCTGTTCCATGCCTTCCTCTTGGCTTCTGGTGTGGCCCGTAACCCTTGGCATTCCTTGGCTTAAGTCACATCACGCCAGTTGCTACATTGGGAATCACATGGGCTCTCTCTCTGTCCACCTCTTCTTCTCCTCTTATAGAAACACCAGTCACACTGAATTACGGACCCTCTATATAACCTCATCTTAACTAACCATACCTGCAACGACCCTATTTCCAAATTAGGCCACATTCTGAGGTTCTGGAAAAGACATGAATTTGGCGGGATACTGTTCAACCCAATAGGAGGCATCTAAAACGAATAGCAACTGGCTTTGGTCTTCAGGAAGGTGTAGTTCCTAATGTATGTGGGGAAATGGCTACAGGAAACTACACTGAGTGGCCAGATTATTATGACCGGCCAGATTATTATGACCACCCTATCAGTACTTCACTGACACTTCCAAAAATACTGAATATTGAAAACTTCCTAAGAAAATACTCTCAAGGTTTTAGTATTATTATTATTTGCATAACTAATTCACTTCATTGTACTGATGGGGTGGTCATAATAATCTGGCTAGTCAGTGTATAATGCAAAGCAATGTGTTCAAGTGGTAATGGATACAGATTACCACGGACATTTGGAGGACTGAGTGATTGGTTGGGATTACAGAGTAGTTATGGAGGGCTTTAGGGTAGAGGTAGTGGCAGTCCTGAAGGACATATAGTATTGTGGCAGCAGGTCTGAAGGATAACTAGTTACCAGTTGGTAGGAATGGTGAAGCTGGGCATTCTGGGCTGAGGGACCCACTTGAGCAGACTAAGAGATGCAAATGTGCATCTGCTGTGTGGGATGCTCGAAACAACTGGCATGTGTGGCTAGAGAATAGCGTGACCTTTAGGTAGCGGTTGCATGTGTTGTTGTGGCCACTGGGAAGGGATGCAGAAGGGAGAAGGGATGAAGTACAGATGGAGCAGAAGGGAGGTAAGAAAGGTGATGGGAGCCCAGTCGTTCATGTCCATGAATGACTGTCACAGAATGGGATCTTCGAGGTGGCAGTTAAAGGGAGAGTTCAAGGAGAGGTGGGAAGACTATTCTGTAATGGCGCTTGAGGAGACCTTGCTGTACTCAGAGGAGCTGGACTTCTATGTTCCCTCTCAGATCTCAAGTTCTGTGATTCTTAGTAGAAATATCTTTTCACTGATCATATCATGCCTCTCTCACCAGTTATTCTACTTCTGCCTCCTCCCTCCTTTCTTTCTATGGAGCATCTTCCATGGGCCAGGCACTGAAGAGACAATAGTGAGTAAGAAGACAAGGACAACATCATTATCATCTCTTCCCTGTAGCATTAGCACAGGAGTACATAGTAGGTTTCCCGTAAATGTCGCTTTGAATTGAGTATGAGTGAGGGAAAATGACAAGGCCGTTTTGCCCTGGGTAGTAAGTTCTGCTATAGAGTGGAGCTGCTTTGAAAGATGACTTCGGAACCTCCCTATGAGGGGGTGGAAAGTAGGTGGATGCTTACATGTGTTTGATTTCTGAGTCATCAAAAAGGCTCCTTTGCCTCCCAAAATATCTTCTTCATCCAGGCTGTTGGTACTTTTAATTCCATTATTGGAAGTTAGTTTTCCTCTGTTAAAATGCAGTTGCCCTGTGGAGAGATGCTATCCATTTATCTTCATCAATCTCTTGCATCTTAATAGAAGTTAGTTTTTTCTGCATAGCAGGTTTGAGAAAAGCACATGGAGGGAAAAGGGGACCCAGGGAGGAGGCGTGCTGGACATGCCAAAGGTAAATTTTGTCAAGGTTGGCAGTTTGGATGAATTGACCTTTAGCTTAGAAAAATCCATTATTATCCATTTGCTGGTATATGTTGGACAGGACATGATTTTTTCTGTTGTAAGTTTTATGGCTACAAAACTTTTTATTTGTTTTGTTTTTTTAAAAGGGCAATAAATCTCATCTCTATCACCCTCAACAAAAATAATGTGTGTGGCAACCTGATCCTATGTTCTTTCTCGACAAGGCTATGCTGTCTATGGTTTGTGTGCTCACAGTCAGGGAAGGCTAATGATATAGATGCTGTAACAAACATCCCCCAAAGTTTCAGTAGCTCATTTTAGAGGCTTCTTTTTTCATTTACATAACAATATGATTCAAGTTAATCGGCTGGGAGAGAGAGTTCCACATTGCCTTTTAGGGACCCAGGCTCCTTCCTTGCTATACATTCACCCTCTTCAGTTGTTGGCCTCCAGGTCACACATCCTCTGGAAAGCATGCCGGGGGAAGAGAAAGCACACTGACGTTTAGCTGCCTTGGCCTGGAGGTGGAGGTGACACATATCTCACCTCACATCCTGTTGGTGACAGCTAGTCCTGAGACCCACCCAGCTGGATAAAGGCTGGGAAATGCAGTTAAATTGTGTGCCCAGAAAGAGGATGTCGTCCTGGTAAGACTCCAAAATCACTTACACATTTTTGTCAGAAATCATTGACACATTAACCTTCTGTCTGTGACATAACCTGAGCTTGGGGCTTGTCCTTAGGGGAACAAGAGAGAAGAGCAATGGCCTGGGATCTGTCCAGTGTTTAGAATAGTGAGAAGCCACTCTCTCTGCTTGGGGAAGTGCAGGTGGACTTTTGCTATGTCAGGGAGACGTCTTAATTCAAAATTCTTATTTTGTTTGCTCATTTGCTTTTTAGTGGAAGTAGGAAAAGTTAATGGAAATCTACCTTGAAATCCGTTTTGAGGTTTGGAGTGGCGTAGTTTCTGTAATATATTTCGGTTCCCTTGGGAGATAAAAGTAGATTAATGTTTGGAGATTTGGAGATCCTCTAGTCCAGGGGTCCTCAAACTTTTTAAACAGGGGGCCAGTTCACTGTCCCTCAGACCGTTGGAGGGCCGGACTATAGTTTAAAAAAGAACTATGAACAAATTCCTATGCACACTGCACATATCTTATTTTGAAGTAAAAAAACAAAACGGGAACAAATACAATATTTGTATTTGCATGTGGCCCGCGGGCCGTAGTTTGAGGACCCCTGCTCTAGTCCAGTGGTCGCCAACCGGTGGTTGGCAGACCAATGGTGGTCCACGAGGTCCGAAAGGTTGGCGACTGCTGGTTTAAGGAAACCTTTGAAGCAGTGGTCGCCAACTGGTGGTCCGCCGACCACTGGTGGTCCGTGAGGTCTGAAAGGTTGGCTTCTGCTGTAAGTCCACCTCCCAAGGGAACTGAGAGGTAATTGAACTGTCCAGATTCACATAGCAAGTTAGTGGTTTACGTGGGTCTCAGACCCCATTTTCCAGATTTCTACTCTAGTGTTTTTTCCACTACCACAGTGTTAGTCCCTACAGAACTGTTCAGAGACTAGGCCTGTCCTGGTGGGACCATCGGACACCAACTAGAAAGGGGGACGGTTGACCAGGTGCAATCAGAGGGTTCCTTTTAGCTGAGATTCCTGGATGGGTTGTGTTTAAGTCCCTGGCTGACAGAAGTGATATTACCTTCCAATAATTTGTAACTTTTCTGAGAAAACAGAATCTCAGTCCTTCTCAGCTGTTTCTTTGTTTTTAAAATATATTTTCTAATTATAAAAGTGATAAAATTTTAGTCATAGAAATTAAGTAAATATATACAAGTGTAACAAAAATATGTACAAATATAATAAAAAATTGCCTGTAATTCCCTAACTTGACAACGCAGTGATAATCACTGATAATGTAAAACAGATATTTTACATCTTTCCATGTGTGTTTTCTGATCATTTTTCAACACATAAATATTTGTATACTTATGCACAATATAATTAAAATGAAAGATTATACTATATGAAATACAAGCTAAGCAATTCTTAAAATATTTCATATTATTTAATATTAAAATTGTTTTAAAATAACTCATTACATGGAAAAATGCTCATATATATTTGTGCGCATCTGCATAATATAATTAAATTAAAATTCTATTTTTACTTAGCTTGTTTTTTTGTTTTTGTTTTTTTATTTGCTTTTTAATGGAAGTAGGAAAAAAGCCAATGGAAGTGTCCCATAATACACCTTGGGATAAAATTCTAATTTCATTGTGAATAAGTACATGGATATATATGAGCAGTTTGCCATATCATGACTTATGTTAAAACGATTTTTTAAGGCTTGCATGATGTTGCATCTTGTGGAAATGCTGAAGGAACAGGCTGGCGGGGAGGAGGGAAGGCGAAGTGGGGGAGTAGTCTTTTTGGTTCTTGGCCCTGACTCTGTGTTCCTCTTCTCCCAGGGCATCAGCAGCCTGTTCAGCTCTCTGAAAGTCGTCCGGCTGCTCCGTCTGGGGCGAGTGGCCCGGAAACTGGACCACTACATTGAATACGGAGCTGCTGTGCTGGTCCTACTGGTGTGTGTGTTCGGCCTGGCTGCTCACTGGATGGCCTGCATTTGGTACAGCATCGGGGACTATGAGATCTTCGATGAGGATACCAAGACCATCCGCAACAACAGCTGGCTCTACCAACTGGCCATGGACATTGGCACCCCTTACCAGTTTAACGGGTCTGGCTCAGGGAAATGGGAAGGTGGTCCCAGCAAGAATTCTGTCTACATCTCCTCGTTGTATTTCACCATGACCAGCCTCACCAGCGTGGGCTTTGGAAACATCGCCCCGTCCACAGACATCGAGAAGATCTTTGCCGTGGCCATCATGATGATTGGCTGTGAGTATGACAGTGCCTGGGGCTGGGGCAGGGGGAATACTGTTTGGTCATCCCTTCTATTAGCTGGAAAATGGGTAATGGCTACAGTGCCAGTAGGATCAGGGCTGTAATAACTTAAAAGGAGGAAAATATATATATTTTTAAGAGACTAGCTTTATAGTTTTCCCGATAATTAAAAAAGTACATGTTTACTGCAAAGAAATTTAGAAAATACTAAGAAAGCACAAAATAGAAAAAGAAAGGCCATCCAGGTACTTCTCAGAGATAGCTATCATTACCATTTGTTCTCTCCCTTACAGATACTTTTCTATCCTTATCTGAACACATAGAGATAGGTTTTTATAAAGTTAAAATGACCTATATGCCACACATATAATTTGGTAAACTGCTCGTTCGTAGAAGAGTGAATTGTGGAAGTCTTTCCATGTCAATGTAACCATAGCTCTAGGTCTGCACTGTTCAATAAGAGAAAGTAGGAAAAGAGAATGTGAACTATCTCATTCATTATCTTTCATAGTGATTACACATCAAAACAACAATATTTTTGAAATAGTGGGTTAAATAAAATATTCTATTACAATTTCAACATTCTTTTTGCTTTTCAAATGTGGCTCCTAGGAAAATTTTGAATCTAATTTCAATTGGACAGTGCTGATCTAGATCAATACTGTTGATGTTTGCTTGATGGTTAAGAAATGTCCCAAATCCAAACAAAACCCAAAAAAGGCCCAAACAAAGCAAAACGCAAAAAAACGGCTCTTGTTCCATTGAGAGGTAAAGGCTTATGGGATTAACTTGATTGGACTGAAAAGCAAAAACAAGCCTAGTTCTTGAGGAAGGTACAGTGGGGCCTTGACTTACAAGTGTCCCGACTAACGAGTTTTTTGAGATACCAGCTGTCTCTCGGCCGATTTTTTGCATTGAGTTGATAGAGTAATTTGAGTGAACGAGCTCCTTAACGAACTCGGTCTCAGAACAAATTAAACTCGTAAGTCAAGGCCCCACTGTACTTACATCCCAATAACTTACCCACCGACCACTGCATAGCTGTTGCTGTTGCCAATGCTGGAAGTAGTAGCCTTCGGCTGGGCACAATGGGCTACCTCCACTAAAGGGACTCCCAAGGGGGGAGTGGACCGAACAGGCGGGGGAAGACACATGGACTTGAGTGGATTGGACTCATGGTGAACCTGCCAGGAGCACCAAGTGCACGTCAGTGACAGATCGTGACATGGGAGAGGACGGTCCTCCCATGAAGCATCAGTTGGGTAGTAGTCTGGTCGCCCGTGATGAAGCTGGAGTCTGGTGCCTGCGGGCAGAGACCCCGTGGCTGGATGTAGTCCTCAGGGTGGAGTTGACGTATTTCTTGTTTCTACCGACCAGGGAATTCTAACACCAGGGAAACTTGAGGCTTCAGTTTCTCTTGCTTTGTCCAGCTCACACCTGAGATTCAGCGCCCCTTTCTGCACGTGGATTGCAGCCCCGTCCTATTTTGCAACCACCTCATCATGTCTGATGCAGTCCTTTCGTAAAACTCCTCGCGCCAAGGCACAGAGCTCACCTCTGAGTGTTGACTGAATGTGTCTGAGGGGTAATGGATTCATGGGAAGTGTTTGCCCATGGAGCTTTGGGGTTTGCTTCTTACTTTAAAATAGGTTTTAATAGAGATGATTGCCTGACCATGGGAGGCAGCGTTACGTGTCTGTGGGTAGCTAATTGCTGTAGCTTAATTAGAACTCGAGGTGCTTCCTCATGTTGTGTAAGAGAATTTAAGACCTTTGCTCTTCTAGAACGATCCGCCTTGAAAGCCCCGTTTTCTAGGCAGCGCCTGCAGCAGTTTTGTGAGTTTGCGCCACCAGACCCAGCGTGCTCGGGCACAGTTTCTGTCTGTTAGAGGGGAGAGGAGACACTGTAAATCAAAACGCCTCATTATATCCGTTACAGAAAAGCTGTGAAGAGTGGTCAGTCAGAAAATGGGCCCCGTTTCACGGACTCTCCAAGGGCTTTCAAATCTGAGGAGACATCCTTGCAAACGTTTACCTGGAAGAAAAGAAGAAAGAAAATAGTTCTGGTGGCTTATAATAAGGATAAGCAGCCTGTTTTCCCCAAACCATTCTTCTGTGGAGAGCATCATTTCCTGGGTATGGTCTCCAAGGAAAACCTCCAACAGTGATTATCACCTCTTCTCTCTCCCACCTTCTCCGAGCTGGATGATGTTTCCATTTCGTGAAATAAAGTGTAATACACAGTCTGCAGCCGAGTGTGATGTTCAGGTCGGCAGGTCTACTTAACGGGAACACCATTTCCCGAACAGTCATTGGGTAGTCACTATGCTAAGTGCTCTACACACACTCTCTCCTACTCGCGGAAATTCTGTGCCTGAGAGATGATCATCTCCATCTGATAAGGAATGGAAGCTCAGAGAAGTTAACTCACTTTCCCAGGAACGTGGGGCTGGTGAGCAGGAGAGGCAGGGTTTGGACCCCGGCCTCCCTGAATTAGTAGCGGGGCTCCTTCTATGGACGCACCTGCACAGGTGAGGTCTGAGAACAGAGTCCACCAGCTTCTCCAGCTGACAGACCAGCACTTTGAAAATTCCCTCCGTGAACTTGAGCAAGCTAGCAGTTCTGCACTGGAAACCTTTTGTGGGCTTGTTTATTGTTGTTGTTGTTTTCATTTAAGAACAAGATTTTGGTACAGACTCAGGGGACCAGGTGTTGTGGAAACCAGCCATTTTTCAGCAGCCTGTCACGGTTACAGCTGTTCCCCTTTCCGTGTGACATATCTGACAAATTCTCGTACCAGCAGCCAGGTTATTGCACTCTGTGTAATGTGGTGGCGATCACCCTTGTAAACTCACATTCCCGACAGCCTTTGTTGGGGACCAGTGCTGGTGTCTTGTTAGATTGGTGGGGTCCTCTCTTATCTTGCTTTGCCTGCGCGTGGACGTGTGCACACCTACCTCCTGGCTGCGTGGCTCACGGGATTGGACTGACCCCAGAATTGGCACCCCTGGTGACAGGGAGCATTGACCACTCCTGCATTTATGCCGATGTGTCAGTGCTTCTCTGTCCCCAGTAACTCTGGCGGTCAGGCCCCCATGTCTTAAGGGGTATAGAGAGACACAGGCCTTTTGAAATACTGGTTACGTTGTAATCCACCCCCCCACCCCCCCACCGCACTGAATTTTACATGCGTTGGGAGTATTATTCCTTGCCTGTTCTGTTGCAGTGTATTAGCCATAATGTAGATTATCCAGAAGCCTTGTGTTGCTTCTCCTCTCTGCTCTCTGGCACTGAATATCTCATTATAACTTGGATAATTCCCCAGAGGGTGCCAGGAAACAGGAAAACTAAGTATTTTCAATCTTGCCTACCTCTCTCAGTTCTGATCAAAGAAAATTGCAATAGGAAAAAGTGGAAACTGATGGCTAAAATGAGTATTTGTGATTGGCTGTGGTGTAGGCAATCTACAGTGTCTCCAGCTGCCTGGTTCTCTCTCTGACTTCCATTCTAGGGTCTTGTCCTGGGCTAGAGGCAAACCAGCCCCTGCCTGATCTCCCTGCCCTCCTGTGGGTCTCCAGGGGTCTCCTACCAGGCCTCACCCCAAGTGGACTCTTCATGTCTTTTAGCACACTTCTGTGTTGGTGACGCTGAGTGAAGCACATGCCACTCTGGCCCTCTGTGTGACACGGGGGAGAGGATGTCCCCCTTTCGACAGGCACATGCATCAACAGGTATGTGCCTCCCGAATTAGGGTTGGTCTGGCTGCTCTGCCATCATCAGAGATGCAGGCTTCTCTTTTCCCTTCAGCACACCACTTCCACATCAGGAGCCAGGATGGCTGGTCCAGCTTCCGCCATATGTTCTCTTTCCAGAAAGAAGGGAAGGGGAAGGCGAGCTGAACTCTGAAAACAAGGCTAGGAAATTGCCATATTACCTCTGTCGGTGCCTCCCCGACAGACCCCTCGTGTGTGCTAAGGATCTGAAGACCACTCCTGTGGGTGGCACTCTCAGGGAGTCTGCGGTCTGATGGTGGTGGGGCTGTGGGAAGGACAGAGACAGGTCCTGTCACTTACCCACCAGTGAGGCCTGGAGATGGAGCCCTCATGGTGGGCTGAGCTTTCCCCAGTCTCTGAGGGATCCCTTCAAGAAGAAGGGACTGTCAGCGGGGAGAGTTCCTGCATCTGGGAGGTCTCATCTCAGGCGAGGGACACGACCCTCCCTGCCTTGGGGATCTCTCCAGGGAGAATTTCATGGTGGAGACATTTCCATTTCTTTTTTTATAAATACGCTTTGCACTTTTCTGATTCTCTCCTCATAATGTCATTGCTGTCATCCTGTCATTGAAATTAACCCACATTCGTTTCCTTTCTCTCTGACAATGGCAGGGGGTCTAGACATTGTATTCCTATTCAGGTCCCGCCCTAAATGCTAAGCATTTGTCTCCTCCCTCAGCTCCCCTTGACACTTGCCTCTTTGAATTCATTTTTCCTTCCCACCTCAGCTCCTTCAAAGCAGAGCAGAATGTCAGTGCTGAAGGGACCTTTGGGAGCATCTGTTTAGTCCAGAGGAGCCCTCCTCTCGCTCTTCTGTTGGGCCAGATCTCATCGTTATCCGTGCTCCAGTCAATCTCCCCCACCCCACCCCACCCACCCCAGGCCTGGGAGCTCCCAGTGAGTCAGTGGGCTCACTCCTGGTGGTTTCCTTATATCATCTTCTTTCCTCGGTGGGGGGGGACGCTAGTAACCTGCACCCCGGGGCCTTTGACCCCCCTCCCTCACCCACTTGCACTATGCTTTGTGGTTTCCCTTCAGCTTAGATTAATTGCAGGCCAATCTGAACTTTTCTCTGCCTCCCTCCTCATCTTATTTAAATGTTTCTTATTTCTATTCATCTCACCTTTGCTAAATATGCCTTTTTTTTGCATTCTATACCAATATACTGTTTTTTAAAAAATGACATGAAGCACATCTCCCAGCAGGCTGTAAAGATACTCTT